TGTGAGCGGTGCGCATAGAAACGCTCTATCACAGTGCGTGAGTACCGCATTGAGATTTCTTGGGCTTAAATGGCTTAAAATTACTTTAATTAAACTAGCCCAAAACTACAAAACGCGGCAAGTGTTAAAGTAGCCCAATTCCGCGGGAAAACCGCGGACTTGGCAACACTGAGCGTGACTGATACTATAAGAAATCATTCTAATATGCTGATTTGGTTCTCAAGTAACATTTCTTCTTCTTATTAAAGCTAAACACAGTTGTGCTGCTCAATATATTTTGTGGAAACTTAGACTTTTTCAGGATTCTTTAAAAAAACGTGATGAAAGTTCAAAATAACATGCAATGAAACAATAATACATTTACTGTAACTTTTGATAAATTTAATGTATACTTGCTGAATAGAAGTATTAAAGAAAGCACTCACTGACCCCAAACTTTTGAGCGGAGGTGTAACTAACTATTATGCCATTCTGAACATGTAAAAGTGGGTAATTTAAACAAAGGTATATTGAAACTGGTGGGAAGTGAAGATGGATGAACATAAAGAAAAAAAATTTTACAGTCACCAGTGTATTTTTAGATTACAATATTCTTCTGCGGCAAAGGAAACCACAAAACACAGCTCAGACAATTCCACTGAACAGCCTGTGATGTTTACTGATCTCTAATCAGAGGCCTGCTACAAGAGAGAGAAAGCAGCAATATTATACAAAGATAACATCCCTAATTGACGTGTTTTGCTCAGCACGTGTTCCCAGATTCTCTCAGCATTTATTATAGAGTTTTAAGTCTCAAATTGTGTGTTTCTTTCAGAGCCCTGTGTGTGTGTGTGTGGGTGTGTGTGTCTTTGAGGATATAAAACACATGCAGAGAGACTGCAAAGTATCTCCTCCTTCAGTATAAAAGAGCAATGAGCAGTCAAAAGCAGTCTTCGAGCCCCTGAAAGTCTCATTTTTGTTTTTTCCTGTCATGAAAGTGCGCTCCAACAAGCCACAAGATAATTAGCCAAACAGACGCCAAGCACGGCCATGTTTATGGACAGCCCTGTCCTCCAGCTAGCCAATCGCACTGCAAAGATCTACCACAGCAATCTTGTGAAACACCAGAGGGACATCTAAAAGCATCCGAAACACAAATCAGCATCAAGACAAACATTTCCAACAATCAATGCATTACAAGAGCAAAACAGCTGGCAATTTTCTAGAAGCCAAAAGCCATTTGGCATGGTGAAGCATTCGTATTTGTATTAAAATTGTGTTTTGCTCAATAAAGGCTAGTTCTGGTTCTGAAAAAACATCCAGACAAGTAATCTGCTTTTAATCTAAGACACGACAACAACTATGAGTGAACAACAGACACGAAGTGACACAAACATCTTCTGCCTCAAATCAGATATTCTTCATCCTGGCTCTCTGAATCTGTAACATTAGTGTGAATACTCTATTTGAGCACTAGGTGTCAGGCTGCACATACATAGCAGAACTCACCAGAACCACAAGAGTGTAATAAAAGCACTCACATTTTCAATAACAAAGGTCCACTCTTTGTCTTCAAACTCCTCTGCGTGGGGATCCTGAAAAACAGAATGTGGAAATTAATTAGATGGCATATGACCTGAGACGAGGCTCATTAAAGAAGTCTCAGAATAAAGCCTGTTTTTAGTGTCTTTTGTAACGGAGATACTGGGGAAAAGCAACTCCACAGATCAAATCAACCTCCATTTACTGATCAACAATAGAGATCAAAGCAAGATCTGCATTTCTTGAGGGAAATAAAATGCAAAACATACAAAGAATGTAGACGTTTCCATAAATGACTTACCTAAAGCTTCATCTGGCTACATCAGTAATATAATGACCAATTGCAGTGCAATAGGTCACAGAGAAAGTGATCTGCCTGTCTCATACAAGTCAGATAAATTCTTCTCATACTGATCTATGTTGTGAGCCTATTTCAAAGTTGAATCAGGTTTATTAGTCAGGTAAATGTGTATATGAGGATGCAAATACATACAGTTCACCTGACCTGCTGTTCTGGAACTATCCCGGTCAGCTGACTGCAAGGTTGGCGGTGCACAAATGAAACATTCGTGAACTCCTGAATGCCAAATTGACCTACTGCAATGAACTCTGGGAGATGTAGTTGTACATGACACTGATTAGTGTGTGTTAGCGTGGTTTGGTGAGGAGAGGGCTGATAAGGAAAAAGCTTGGACAAGCACTTTGTGTGTGTGACCTATGTAAAACACAATGTGGAGACTGTTAGAGGATATTCAACACCAGCCTGTCAGCGCTAGCTCGTAACTTGCATGTGTGATGTGTATGTATGTGAAAATATTTATATAAAATGTGTGTGTGTGTGTGTGTATATACACATACATTTTTTATGCATACTTAAGTATAGTAATAAACTGTACATACCACTATACATATGTATGCTTAATACAAGTTATATATCAATATATTTAAAATTCCGAACTCAACGTCAGAATTGTTGTCAGAATGTCATCTGAGACAAGAGTACTGTCATCTCAAATCCTGTGCTGTTAGCAGGAGGAGCCTCCGATCTACAAACTTCTCTCTCTCTTTGTGTCTAATAGATGTACTTCCTCTATGGCTGCACCTGGGTCTGACAATTGAGGATGTAAGGTCTCACTTCTCTCGTGCCAGATGTAAAAATCTGCTGACCGGCATTTCAAAAAGACTAAAATACCAAGCACAGACTTCCTGCTGCCGTGTCAGTTTCTGCTGTACACACACTTGAGAAGGGGGTTAAAATTTGGACTGTGGAAGTTAAATTAAAGTGGAATCAGGACGTCTAGACACTAGCAGACCTGCAGATCTCAACCAATCAGCTTCTGGGAAAAAGCCAACTGCTACAACTGGCCCCAATAACGTCTAGGCCTACTTGGCCCCTAGATGAAAGTGTTTTTAATGTGTGTGTGTAAGTGCATGTGTTTACCTTAAATAGTGTGACAGTGATCTCTATGTTCTCTGGAACAGGCCACACCACCACTCCTCTATATGGGTTCTTAATGCCAGGCTGCCAGCTATGAGACTGTAAAAAAAAAATAAAAATACATTAGATGATACACAAAATGATTATAATAGACACAAGAAAACAAACAGCTTTACTCATACAAAATAAAATAAAATACACAATCTAGTCGTTGTTACACTGCAAAAAATTATTTTCTTAGTATTTCTGTCTTGTTTTCCAGTTTGAATTAAATATATTTTTCTTACCCCATTGGAAGATTTTTTTTAAGTTTTAAGCATGAAGCATAAGACTTATCATTAAGTCATTTTGCTACAAGTAAATTAGACATTTTAACTGGAAAACAAGACAAAAACATGATTTTTGCATGAATTTGGAGTGATACGTTGTTACATAAAGCTTTAATGATTCATTAAAGTTGATGTGCATAATTTTTGAGCCAATATCAGCACAAGAAACTGCGCCATCCCATACTCACATCATTAGCTCAATAATTAAGTGCATTTATATGCACATTAAAAGTTTGATTTCAGTTGGACTAAAACTAAAATGTCATATAAACACTTCAGTCAGACTACTCTTACAGTACTAGTCTGGTTTTGTTAAGTCAGACTTACAGAGCTAGATAATGTAATTGTAGCTCAACATTGTCCAGCATGTATAAAAGCTAATTGGGCTAAAATTGTCTTCAGCATTGTGTGTAGGGATGCACCGATACCGATACTGGCATCGGTATCGGGCCCGATACTGAGCTCCTGTACTCGTACTCGTAAAAATGCCCCGATACCAAACGCGGATACCACACAGCAAGTGATAAGCGCCATATTCAAACAAAGAAACACCGACAACAGAACAACAGACAGCAGAATGGAGTTAAGGATGTCTACTACGAAGTATATGTATGCAATGAATATAACGTTAAACATTCAGTATTAACGCCTGTATAGCTGAAGTGCGTGAGCTGATAAAAAAAGCACGCTGAGTGGATTGAGCGCACGGCGGCGCAGATGCGCGAGCTTGTCGAGTGAATATATCTTTCTCACAGACATCACTGGAAAGTTTGTAGTTCGGTCGGATATGTCAAAAACAAGTAAGTAAAACAATGCACAAGTTACTTAACGGTAGGGAGAGAGCGAGAGCGAAAGAGAGAGAGAGAGAGAGAGAGAGCGCGCACAATTCTGTTGTGTGATCTTTGATGTTCAAGCAAAATAAAGTAAACTGTGACAAATCATACCCAAACATTCTTCATACAGTGGACTATCTGTAAAACTGATGCAAATTTGGGACCAAAAATTATTCAGACCGAGTCTGGGAAAAAACATTGAAGTTGAGGTTTGCATGAAGCTGGTTGACAGCATGCCCAGGAGACTACAGGCTGTTATTAAGGCTAAGGGTCGCCCGACTAAGAATTGATAGCTGTGTAAATACTGTCATACTAACAGCTGTCTGATTTTTGGTTGATTGTAATCTATTACATACCTTTCTATCAAAGTTATCTAACATTATCAAGCTGAATTTGTTCTGACTCAGTTTAACTCTGAGTTCTTGTCATATTTTATTACCATTTTCTAAACTATAGCGAATAAACTGTGATAATGTGAGAAATGTTGAAGGCGTCTGAATAAATTTTGGTTTGACTGTATCTATTTGATAAATGAAGTTAACCAACTAACATTATACATACTCTTTTGGTTTCTGTACCCAATATTTAAAAAATTTACAAATGCAATAAAAATATTGGTATCGGTACTCGGTATCGGCAAGTACCAAAAATTAAAGTATCGGTATCGGGCGAGTACTGGAAAAAGTGGTATCGGTGCATCCCTAATTGTGTGTCTGCTCCAAAAGCTGATCTGTGATGTGTATTTAATCCATCAAATTTTATATTAAGAATGTAGCTCAACTACGCAAAAACCCACTAGTTACTGCACATGTAAACCTACTTGAGGCATTGTTTGAAACTGCATAAAAAAAATAAAAAAGTAATATTACCCACCTTGGAAGATTTCCTTCGGCTCCTGCGTGTCCAGACAACAACTAGCTTGTCCGGTTGCCTAAAAAAAGAACACAAGAGAAAAAAAATTCAACAAGCACTAATGAAGTATTTAACAAGCACATTATCTAAAAGAAACACTACCAGAGCTTCAGATTTCAGTTCTGCTGTGAACAAGCTACAGCAAATTTGAGTCTGAATCACTTGTCAATCAACAGAGAACAAGATCAGATGAGAAATGAGAGAGAAAGATGCTGACCAGCCTTCTCAAGAAAGAGCTCAAAGTCAATCAATTCATGCCCATATCACACAGCCTAGCCCAGCAGCAAACAAACTCACTGCTTTTCAGAGGCCAGTGTGTGCGCGCTAGATGAATGTGTTAATGGAGTTCAATTCATCCCTCACACTAAAGCACAAATACACCTTACGGTACAACATGCACAATACACACTCACAATTCGAACGATCAAAAGGTTTAAAGATAAACAAACTATAAGACTAGAAGGAGAAAAAGGTTTCAGCACATCTGAGCAGGGCTGAGAGAGAGAACACACACACACAGGAACCAGGACTCGCAATCTTGAATTGGATTACCAGCAGTAAGAGGCTTGACTGCAATCTGACAGGTGTGCGTTTATGCATGTGTGGTGTATGCGTCTCATTTTCAGAAACATTACTGTCCTCATCTAAACCATTCCAAACATGATAGAGCAGACAGAAGGCTGATCTATGCCCATCTAAGGCATCTCCTGCTGAGTGTCTGGATTATTCTAGATTACTATACAGATCAGTTTCCCAGGAACAGAAAAACGTCAGTACTCCCCCCCCCCAAAGGATTTTCTGTGGAGAATCAGCAATGATAGAGCATTTCAAACAATGACTAGACTTAAAAAGTGTCTGGGAAACCAGCAAGAGAGCATCACAGAAACCATACACAGATGCTCCATTGTGTCTCTCTACATTTCTAGAACACACTCACATTCCCTCCTGCCCTACAGCATCATGCTCTGTTTGACATGGAGCACTGAAAACAATCTGTTTTCAGTCATCTCTCGCTCTGAAATACCAAAACTCTTTCTATTTCCATTCCTACTTGGACTTGTGTGTTTTCTCTAGGCTAGTTGACATGCACTACTGCAGTTCTCTCTTTTCACATGATCTTATCAAAGTTTTACAATGAGTTTCCTCATGGATGGGTCACAATGATTTTGAAAGAAATTTTATTCAGCAAGGATGTATAAATTGATCAAAAGTGACAGTAAAAACATTTATAATGTTTCAAAATATTTCCATTTCAAATAATCGCTGTTCTTTTGAATACTTCCTATTCATCAAAGAGTCGTGAAAAATATGTTCGATTACATAATATGTATCAATGTATCATTATGTAATACTAATGTGTACTCACTCACTCCGGTGGCGCTGCTCTGCTTGCGACCCGGGCTCGTGCTCCACTACATCAGTCTGTTCGTACTTTTTATTGTTATTTTATCTTATCGTGACGAATCCGACGCTCGTATGGCGATGATCGTCCAACTTGCCTGTCTAGTAACAGTCATATGGGGATACTTGGCGCAGTGCACGGTATATGCAGGTGTGGAAACATGGACGCCTATTAGCTATACCCGAGATACTTTGCTCGCGCTTTGCCAAATGGGATTACCTCCGCCGAACCTACCTGCCTGCGTGAGGGTGCAACCTGAGCGAAATAGAAGGCAAAGGAAAAGAGGCCAGAGGGGCGGAATACGGCAGCGTCTTCGACGACGAGGGAGTAGACCACCCTTACCGTCGATGATTCTGTGTAATGCTAGATCCCTGCATGGAAAGATGGGAGAACTTCGTGTGAACTCCAAAGCATGTTTTGAGTACCGCACTTCAAGTTTGATGGTGTTTACGGAAACATGGCTTCATCAGGATATCCCCGACGCGGCCATGGAGTTGGAAGGATTCACGCTTGTGCGGGCGGATAGAAGTGTGCAATCGGGGAAATACAGAGGCGGTGGTATAGCTGTGTATGTGAGTAACAACTGGTGTAAACAGTACACAATCAAGGACACATTCTGCTGCCCCGATGTTGAAGTTTTATGCTTGAAAATGAGACCCTTTTATCTACCGAGGGAATTCGGAAGCATTGTTGTTTGTGCGGCCTATGTACCTCCTAGTGGAAATGCGGCGAGAGCAGCAGAGTATATCGCGGATTGTGTTCATCAACAACTACAAGGCTCACCAGACGCTCCTGTATTTATTTTAGGTGACTTTAATCATTGCAAGCTGGAACTGTTCTTGCCCGGGTTTGAACAATACATAAAATGTGGAACACGTAAAGACAGAATCCTAGATAAGTGCTATGGAAATGTAAAAAAAGCTTATGAGGCCAGATATATATATTTTTTTTTTTTTTTTTTTTTATATATTCTCTACTAGTATGTGTTGTATGTGATGTGGTGGTTGTATTTCTGAGCCTAAGACAAATTTCCCTCAGGGACAATAAAGTGTACCTAACCTAACCTAACCTAACCTATTCTAATAAATTTGTTTTAATTAAAAAAAGTAAAAAATTTAAAACAAGTATATAAATATAAAAGTTTAATAATTTGACATAAAACATGACACTAATAAGGTATAAAAAAGACCTTACAAAGGTTTATTTAAAGGTGACATATCATGAAAATCTGACTTTTCCAGGTTTTAAGTGCTATAATCAGGTCCCCGGTGCATCTACCAACCAAGGAAACGTGAAAAAGATTAACCCAGTAACTTTGTTTTGGTAAGCCTTTTTCTGCAAGCGTCTGAGAAAACGAGCGCGTTTGATTTTGCTCACTTGGTGACGTGGCAAAGGGATCTCATTATAATATTACCACCCCTTAATCTGTAAGTTTACACCCACGGTGCCGTCATTTTGATTTTGCAAGCGACAACAGTG